AAAACAATAATTATATTTACCACATCAGCATCAGACTTGTTTTCCATTTTCTCAAGTGATTTGGTTTCTCGAGTGTCTGAACTAATGATAATTTGTTTCATTTCTTGCCGAAGTAACCTACAAGCAAACCTATGGTGACACTGAAATCATCATACCGATGATTTCATATTACTATGACAGAATTTTCAAAATTGTTGATAAGTACGAACTCACCCGACATTGATTGTTGTCTCCATTTTATCACCAGTCAAAACCCATAACTTTATTCCTGCCTGTGCTAGCTTATCAATACATTCAGGAACCTATATGTCAAAAAGCGATTGCAAAGTTTTAAACGCACTTAGTTCAAACTTCAAAAATCTAGCTCAGAACTGAGCATAGATAACTTTATCACTAGTTGTAACATACCCTATTTTGAAGTTTTTCTTCAACTGTGGTAGCACCCAGAAGAATTAAATCCATTTCGATCTTTTCTAATACGTCCTCCACAATCTGCTCTCGATCTGCACTTACTAAGCTCCTGGCTTCCATCAATTCTTTACTAAAAAGAGTGTACTCTTCTTCCTCAAGTTCGCGATAGGCCAATATCAAGGTCCTCAAACCAGCATCTGCATATTCCTTAATGTGCTGCTTAGTCTTTTTCTCAAACTCACTTCCATTCTTCGCAACTCGTTCAAACATGACACTAATGTTGATAAAAACAAAATAGAAACAGTTAAATATTATCAACTTTCAAATCAGTGTGATTTCTCAAGGCTGCAGCTTACTAGAATACACAATTGAACAAAACAAACAAGCACAATGAATCCTCAAAAATCACATAGTAATTAATCATTATGTATCTCAAATATGCAAAAGTCAGTTTTAAGGTTTTAAATCGGATGCATCAAGACCATGGTCAACTTTTCCTTTTGACAACTCTGGTATCTCCAATTCAAATTGTCCATCAAGAATATTTTGTATGGTGTCAATTTTAAGTCTACAGAATTCAAGTTTTTTCCGCATTCGATACGGACCTTCAATTGGACAAAGTTGCCATTCTGGCTCTTCGGTCAAAGAGGATTTACTTAGTGGGAATATCCCTCGTTCATGCATAAGTTGTTGAACATGGCATTGCCACTCACTCTCAACATGCAGAATCCATCCATACTTATCCTGCCTAACAACTCTCAACTCGGTGGACATTGCATCACGAACTAAATCCAGTGCATATCTTCGCTCATTTACCTGCTCCCAGTGCCTTAAATCTAATTTTACAGCTTCTCGAGTTTTTTTTCCCATTTCCTTCTTTCGCCGACCTTCTATCCCTTTGATTCTTACTCCTGGAAACTTTCCACTGGAAGAGACAGAGCCCTGGTCAGCAATATCACCATCCAAGCTTTGAACAGTTTGTGTGTCTTCATGAAGAGATTTATTTGATTCTGGCTCGGTTACAATAACATTTGACTCTGGATTTGTTACAATAACATTGTCTGGAATGAGATACAGACAAGCCAAAAGATGTGTCATCTCCATAATGATTAGAGATCATCTTTTATCTCATGTTATAATCATCAGCAGAAACATAAGTATTATTTTCAGAGAAATTGACAGGCCTAGTTTCAGATCCAAATAATCGATCAATAAATTGGTTTGGGACTAAACTGAAATTGTGATTGTTCTCCCACGGAGTAAAATTAACATTTGAAAATCCTGAACTAGATCTTTCATTTTCATCTTCTATTGCTTGCTTCTTGTTTGGAAAAAAAAATCCCCTTCAGTTGCATCAATTAACCATTGATGAGGTCGTTTTGGTTCAGTTTTGGAAGGATTATCAAATACTGTCTCTCTGTCACTAACTTTCAAAACAAAACAATGCGAATAAGCTGACACAATCGAATTCCACGACACCAAATCACAAGTCCCTCTATGACACAATTCATCAAACACCTTACGCGCGTGAACAAGCGCATTACATTTACCTTGAAATTGATTGAGTCAAGCCATAATTCAAGTAAACTCTAATACTAATCTAAAAACTCATTATAGTTGCAAATCACGATATAAGAAAGAGAAACCATGATTTTACCTTGAAATTGGCTTGAGAAGAGGAGCAACAGAGCGATGGAACAGCTGATTGCGGAACTGCGACATATCAGATTGAAAATCAAGGTTCCAACTATTGTTAGTGTTGAATGATCGGTTCAATATCAATATCAATATCCTTTAGGTATGATTTAAACTTCAAGTCATTGTTAGGGTTCAATATTCAACAACTTTTAGGGTTTGGCTTCAATTGAGAAAGGGATTGAGGAAGGAGAGAAGACGCAATGGAAATGGAAATGGTGATGAAACTTTTATCGACAAGGAACGAAGATGAGATTCAGAATATAGAGGTTTAAATTTGAGAAAAGGAAAAACGTGAATGAAAAAAGGAGGGTTCTAAGATTTTTTTTCCGTAAAGGACAAGGACAAGGAACGAAGATTATATTTTTTAATTTCACAAAAACAAAAAATACATATATTAAGCAAAATTAATATTTTCTTTAATAAATTTAGATTAATTATTAAAATTTAATTTAAAATTAAAAAAATTTACAATTTACATTAAAAAGGCGCAGATGAAATCGCAGGTATTTTACTATTATTTTAGACAAAAATATTAAGCTACATTGTCATGAAAATTATAATAATTATAATAATTATTTATTAAATTAATTAATAAAATTGAAAATGTTAGAAAATAAAAATGAAAGAAAAAAGTGGAAAATTAAAGGAATAAAAAATTAGTGATTATGACTGGCTAAAGTAATTGCGACAATTCGCCTTAACTGTCGCGAGTGTGGAAAGAGGGCGGTTCTTTGGTAACTGTCGCATTATTTTATACAACATGCCTAAAAAATTTGCGACGGTTGGCTCAAACCGTCGTGAGAACTGTCGTAGTCTAAGAATAAGGACGGTTTTTTGATAACTGCCGCAAAAAATCTACGACAGTTGAACCTAACTGTCGTGACAACCGTCGCAATCCAAGAATAAGGACGGTTTTGTGATAACTGTCGCAACTCAAGTGTCGTAAATCTCCTTTTTTCTTGTAGTGACTGTTGTTGAAAGAACTTATATGAATAAAATTCCTTATGCTAACGTAGTAGGTTCTTTGATGTATGTTATGGTGTGTACTAGACTCGACATAGCATATGCAGTAAGTCTTGTAAGCAGGTACATGACGAATCCTGGAAAGGCTCATTGGCAAGCATTGTAGTGGATTTTAAGGTACATAAATAGATCTCTAAATAGAGTCCTAATTTATGGTGGAGCCTTGGGTGAAGATAGTAAAGCAGCAATCGAAAGATATGTCGACTCTGATTATGCAGGTTGTATGGATTCCAAAAAATCTATCTTTGGATATGTGTTCACTATGTTTGGGACAGAAATCAGTTGGAAAGCAACACTTCAAAAGGTTGTTGCCTTATCAACTAATGAAGTGGAGTATATTTCCCTAGCTGAAGCTGTGAAGGAAGCATTGTGGCTTGAAGGTTTTGCAAAGGAGCTAAAACTTCAAGGTTGAGTTATCACTGCTAAATGTGATAGTCAAAGTGCAATACACCTGTCGAAGAATTCAGCCTATCATGAGCGAACCAAACATATTGATGTGAGGCTGCATTTCGTCAGAGGGGTAATCGAGCATGGAGAAGTCCAAGTGTTGAAGGTTTCGACCGATCATAATGTTGCTGATATGATCACCAAGACGTTGCCCAGTTGCAAGCTTTTCCACTATATGCAGTTAATAAAGATGCATGAAGAAAGTTAGTTTCTTGATGTTATAGAGTTAGATCCAAGGTGGGGATTTGTGAGATGTTGGATCGAACTCTAGTGTGGTCGAAGTCTGTTCGCGAGTAATGCGTGTTGTAGTCGAAGTCTGTTCTAACATGCATTAGTCAATATTGCTAAGATTGTTAACATGTTGAATTGGGTCTTGCTTGTAAGTCCAATTGTTTAAGTTAGTTTATACTCAAAGTTAGCTTGTAATGAGTAATTATTAAAAAACCCATTAGGTTAGTGTGATATTTTTCTTATAAATAGGATGATAGTTTCTCAATCTTGATATAAGGAAAAATTGGAAGATAAAATCATAATTTCAAGAGAGAGAGAGAGGTTATTTTGTTATTCTTGTATACTTGTAATTTTGTTCTAAGAGAAAGGAAAGAATAACATTTTAATAATCAATATTTGTTGTTTTCTTCTTTATTAACCCTAACTTTTTTGTATTTTTTGATCATTAAGAAACTGTTTATACTTAGTTTTAAGGTATCTGATTTACAACACAGGTTTTGTTATAATCAACGAGATTGATTTCTCCTTTAAACCAATGAAACATGGATATTGTGAAATCTACGCCGATATGTATGGAAAGAGTATTTGAATTTATATCAATGAAGTTATTACTAAATTCTTAAATTAGATGAGTTTGAAAAGGAACTAAAAGGAGTTTGAATGGTTTTATTATTTGAAGAATATAACTCTAGATTGCTAATACTTTTCTTAAAATTTGTGTAAAAAGAATTTGAAAAAAAAAGACTAAATTCTAACAAGACTTTAAATATGTCACAAATTTAAATGGTCACATTTCAAATTACGTCACAATATGAGAGTCTTTCAATGAGGCTTGACAAACATGTGTCGCGTTGAAAAATTTTGGCATAATATTTAGTTGCCAAATCAACGAGCTTGCAATGCGATCAGATGCTCTCATGATGAGAAACAACACGGAATTCTGAGAAATAGGTTTTTCTTTCTCATTAAACTAATCTTCCTAAACTAATATAAAATATGTTATACTTAATCACTAACCCTAAAACCATTATAAGTACAGTAATCAACAAAACAATAAACCACAACTAATATGCAATGGGAATTCAGGTGTAATAGTTTCAACATTTTTTATTATATTAACTTGTTTAACAAGTTTTAGTATTACAATTATTATTTCTTACATTGGTTTATAAATATAGATCATCACAAGTTTAACTCATTGCCTTCTTAATTGCAGATGCTAATCCTTCATATGCCACTTCCCAAGCAGCACTAAGTTCTTCGCTCCATTTTTCCCCAGATGCCTCCTTTATGGTTTCTAGCAAAGCTTCTTTAACCACCTTTAAAATATCAAAAGTATTATATTTAGTTAGCGTTTTAACAATTTAGAATATTATTTTCCTTTCTATGCCTCCTTATTTGTTAACATGACACAATAAATTATAAAATTAAATATGTTCTTCATTGAAAATTTATATTTATATTTTTAATTTTTGTCTTAAAAATATTCATTTTTATTCTTAATAATATTTTTCAAATGGAATAAATAATAGGAAGTGAAACCAAAACAACTTCATACCAATAATCTATAATTTTTTGCAATTTTTTTAGTTTCATTTATTGAGTTTATTTTAATGGAGAGGACTCTTCTAAAATTAACATATCACTTTAGAGAATAAAGCGTTAGATGAAATTCATATAAAAATGGGAGTGATATCAATTATTGATAAATAAATCAATGAGTTGGTAGTATATACACAATCATAATATATCATATTTGGTTACAATATCAATCATTATTTTTTCACTTTACTAACTATCCAATATACACGAGTCAAATACTATTTTGATATATGATATATTTTTACCGTTCAAATTACTTTTACATATATTGTTCTATTATTGATTTTGAGAATAAGTGACCATTAGGCAATAAATATTTTAGATTGCATTCATTGTATTTTTTATTATATTGCGTACCACAAAATGAGGATCAACAACTCCCTTTTGAATGTGAATGGCACCCAATGTTGTATTTTCTAAAACTACTTCTCCTGATGCTCGAAGTTGAACAGCTGAGTCATGCACCTGTAATTTAAAAGGTATAAATATCTTAAAATTTTATATTATCAAATTTAAATTATAGTTTCACAAGCTTACACAACCAATGAAATATCATGTTTGAAAGACCTTTTTAGGCCACATTAATTTTGAAAATGGTAGATTGGCTAGATCATATGTGTAAATTTTAGATTAAAATAAAGAAGATATAATTCATAGAAGATTTAATTTATATGACTTGAACATGAAAAATAAAAATTTTATAGTTTTATTAAATATTTCAATAAAAGTGGAATGAAATATGAGGTCAATAATGACTGTTATTTAAAATAAAATTTAAAAACTATCTATTTTAAGTGTAGAACCAAAATATGAAATAAACTTAATTGAAGTGGATTACACTCACCATTCCAAAAACTTTTTCAGCATGGGCCTGAAGTTTAGGACTATCTACTACTCCAGCTGAATCTTTAAGAAATGAGAACATTCCCTTTGCTGCCGGTGCTTTTTTCAATATACTATTTTTATTAAATTTGTCAAAATTATTCTTGTTAGTTGACATTATTTCTTATAAACCAACACTTAACAAAAACAAAAACAAAAACACAAGACAATAATACTCAAATAATGTAAAGCTTACATGGTGTAGAACAAAACACTATAGCTAGGGTTTTGTTTAAATAATTCCCATGAGCTATTAACTAAAGCTTCTTGTTTCTCAGTGAAACCCATATTTCTCCTCTTCTTCTTCTTTGTATTTTTTTCTTTTATTTGTGTTGGTAGTGTAATAACAATACATTCAATACTTGCTTATATAGAAAACATTTAGGTGTAAAGAAATCTAATTGATTTATTGTGATTGTTTTAAAATGATCTATTGGCTCGTGGAGATGTCCATTAACATTATGAAAGGGACAAGAATCTTTTTACAAAAGTTAATATTCAATTTTTTCACCAAATATAATTAATAATAAAAAATTATTTAAAAGTCATTATGTAACTATTATTCCGTTCATTCAAAATAAGTAGTAATTAATCTAATGAAAATGCTAATGTATAATCTTGACTTAAAAATACCATTGAGATTTAAATATTCCGTAAATATGAAGTTAAGGATAAAATGGTCATTTAAACCATAAAGGGAATTTTCGTCATTTTCAAATATAATATGGAATCTCAAGTAAAGTTAAAATTAATGGAGGTTTATGGAAAATAAATAAGTAATTAAGTCATTATTCTATGAGCAACTGCCAATTAGGAAATATATCATGAAGAATGACATTGATGGAATTTCACTATTTCATGTGAGGACAAAAATGATATGTTGATTTAGAATTATAAATTCCTCTAATTTGGAGTGGAATATCAGTCTTCCTCCCTATTGGAAGAAGTTGCACGATTTGGATGTCAAAAAGGAGGACGAACCATGATCTATCTGTGAGATATTGGATCGAACTCTAGTATGGTCGAAGTCTGTTCGCGAGTAATGCGTGTTGTAGTTGAAGTTTATTCTAACATACATTAGTCAATATTGCTAAGTTTGCTAGCATGTTGAATTAGGTCTTTCTTGTAAGTCCAATTGTCTAAGTTAGCTTGTACCCTAAGTTAGCTTGTAATGGGTAATTGTTAAAAAAACCTATTAGGTTAGTGTGCTAATTTTCTTATAAATAACATGCTAGTCTCTCATCTTGGTATAAGAAAAAATAAGAAGATAAAATCCTAATTCAAGTGAAAGAGGTTATTTTTTTATTCTTGTATACTTGTAATCTTGTTCTAAGAGAAAGGAAAGAATATCAGTTTATAACTAATCCTTGTTGTTTCTTGTTGTTTTACCTTGTTTTCTTTGTTAACCTTAACCCTTGTGTGTTTCTTGATCATAAAGAAACCATTTATATTTTATTTCAACACATCCTATTCACAACAAATTGGTGTGGTGAGCATGGAGAAGATGCCTTCAACAAAGTATCAGATTGAAAAGTTCAACAGAGTGAATGACTTCAATCTGTGGCGCTTGAAGATGAAAGCCCTACTGGTTCAGCAGGATTGTTTGGAAGCGTTGAAGGGAGAGGTAGCCATGGACGTTACGCTAACAGCAAAAAAAAAGACGGCCATGATTGAGACAGTCCACATCACAATATTGTTGAACCTTGGTGGTAAGGTTCTTCGACAAGTATCAAAGGAGACTACAACATCGGGATTATGGGTGAAACTTAAAAGTTTGTACATGACCAAATCTCTAGTAAATCAAGTCTACCTGAAGCAAGATTTGTATTCATTCAAGATGAGTGAAGACAAAGTGATAGCTGAGCAGTTGGATATGTTCCACATGTTGATTCTTGATCTTGAAAATATTGATGTGAATATTGATAATGAAGATCAAACACTATTGTTGTTGTGTGTTTTGTCCATAACACATGCTCACTTCAAAGAAAATCTCTTGTATGGAAGGAATTCCCTGAGATTTAAAAAAGTTCAATTAGCCTTGTATTCTAAGGACTTGAACGAACGAAAGGAGAATAAACCTTCGACGGTGGGCGAAGGTTTGGCCGTTAAGGGAAAATTCTTGCGAAAGGATGGTATGTTCGACAAGAAGAAAGGTAAAAGTCAGCAGAAGTCTTATAGTGGTGAAACATCTGGTAATCGACGTTATCATTGTAAGAAGGAGGGTCACACAAGAAAGGTGTGCCCTGAACGCCTGGAAAGATCATGGAGGTAAGAATAATGGCAACACAACCATTGTTCAAGATGACTTTAATTCATCTGATGTTCTTATGGTTTCAAGTGGCGACTCAAGAAAAGAGTGGATTATGGATTCAGGTTGCACTTGGCACATGAATCCAAATAGAGAATTGTTTAATGAGCTATGTGATTAAGATGGTGGATCGGTGTTGTTGAGAAACAACAAATCTTACAAAATTGCAAGTATTGGATCTGTGAGATTCAAGCTTCATGATGAGTCAATAAGGTTATTGACTGAAGTCAGGTATGTACCTGATTTGAAGAGAAATTTGATTTCTCTTGGTGAATTTGACAGGAAGGGATATGTTTTTTAAGGAGAGAAAAGTATCCTAAGAGTCATAAAGGGGTCGAAGGAAGTCTTAAGAGGTGTAAAAAAACAAGGCTTGTATACCCTTGAGGTTGTGGTTGTAAGTGGTTCGACAAATGTTGCATCCATGAAACCTGTGTCGAAGACAGAATTATGGCACATGAGATTTGACCATGTTAGCAAAAGAGGCCTGGTCGAATTGGGGAAGCAGAACTTGCTAGGAGGTGACAATTTCGAAAAGTTGGAGTTTTCTGAATCTTGTGTATTTGGTAAATCCTGTTGGGCGAAGTTTAACAAAGGCAAGAAAAGAACACATGGATCTCTGAATTACATTCATGTTGATCTTTGGGGGCCTGCAAGGAATCCTTCACACTCAGGTGCAAGGTATTTTCTATCCATCGTTAATGACTATTCCAGAAATCTATGGGTATTCATCTAGAAGACGAAGGATGAAACTTTTGAGAATTTCAAAAGTTGGAAGGTTCTGGTCGAAACTCAAACTGGCAGAAAAGTTAAGAGGTTGAGAATCGATAATGGCCTTGAGTTCTGCAGCTAAGCGTTCGACAATTACTATGTTGAGTGTAACGCCCATTTTAATTATCTAGTTTTTCTGTGTTATTTTATTTTCGGCGTGTATTGTGGGGGTGTTTGAGTGCGATTGTGTGTAGCCCTTAAGTTGGAGTTTAATTAATAATTTTGGACTTTGGTATTAATAATAATATTTAGTGATGATAATTTAATTAATAATGGTAATATTATTATTATTATTATTAATATTATTATTATTATTAAGTGAATAAGAAATGGAATAAGAGGGTATTAGGGGCTGTTTGGGAAAAGAAAGAATTGGAAAAGGGAAATAACACGTTGGAAAGGAAAAGAGGAAGAAAATAACACGATCAAGAAGGAGAGGAATTGGAAGGAAGGGAACAAGGTCAGTTGGAAGAAGATTGAAGGAAGAGAACCAAGGAGGAAGAAGAAGAGCTTAGATTATCGATTCTTCAAGAATTTTCATCAGCTTGTTCGAGTTATCGAGGTAAGGGGGGAGAATCGGGTTGAAATTCGGTGGTTGCATGAATTCTAGGTAGAAGGGGATTTCCCTAACCCCATAGGTTTTGATGATTCTGTTGTTATGTTGTGATGATTTTGAATGTTGTTGTTGTTATGATAAGCTCGTTACATGTGATCGTTTGGATAGTTGAGGGTTCCGAGCAATTTGCTATGTTTATGCCGAAATTGATTTAATCAGTAGAACTAAGGTTTTATTGGGTAAAATCGAGAATAGATTTTGTAGCTGAGCCGTAGAATATTGGTCTGATGTTGTGAGAGCTGGTTTGCGCATAATTGGCTGATTTCGGAGAGCTGTGCCGATTCTGAGCAGAGAGATTTTTGTGAATTTGCAGACATTCTCCAGCTGCTTTGCTGAGCGAGATAGTAGCAAACCTTCGCTAGGGGTTCACTGGGCGAACTGGGTAGCGAGTGCTACCAGTAGCCACTGTCTGGCTTCGCTAGGGAGCTCGCTGAGCGAGCATGTAGCGAGCGTTCGTTGATGCTTCGCCTAGCGAGTGAGCCAGCGAGCATGACAGTATTTTGTGTTTTTGTGCTGTTATGTTCTGTTATCTTATGTTGCGGGACCCTCGTTGGTCATGATTGATTATAAAGTTGGTGTTAATCTGTGGAGAGTGTATGTATGTTTTCGGAACGTGATTTCCGTGATATTCGTGTAATTATAATATTTGAATTGGTGTGTATCATGTATGTATGATGTATGAATGTGGTGATGTGTGAGACATATATGATGCATGATAAAATGTGATCAGGAGGATCGTGTGCACCGTGTGTGCCTGTGTTTGTTGTGTGCATTGGTGTCTTGCATAGCATTATGTTGGGGTTGAATAATTGCTCGGATGGAGTGTATGTGATTCACCCGTGCTCAGAAGGAGCGTGGTAGGGATAGATCATTGCTCGGATGGAGTGTATGTGATCTATCCTGAGTTGATTGCTCGTACTCAGAAGGAGCATGGTAGGGATAGATCATTGCTCGGATGGAGTGTATGTGATCTATCCTGAGTTTGATTGCCCGTACTCCGAAGGGGGAGCATGGTGGGATAGATCGTTGCTCAGATAGAGTGTATGTGATCTATTCGGGTTCGATTGAATGAACTAGTGAGTCAGTACCGCATATCATGGTGTTGTGTTGCATATGTTTGCATTGTCGTATGTGTGCTATGTCGATGTTGGACAGTAGTTCCTAATTGACGTGTGTTGAATGATATTTGTATGTTTACTGCCTTTTATTCATGTACGTTATTACCGTTATATTTTGATCGTGATTTCTCACCCCTTGTTATTGTTATGGTCTGTGCTTCTTCGGGAGTACAAATAATCCAGGTGCAAAGCTAGCTTGGATTGCAGCGAGTCGAGTCGTAGGGATGCTCTGATACGTAACACGGGGATTTTGGGAGTTATTTGTTTATCTGATGATTTTGTTGACTTCGTGTCGTATCATGCTATGTTTTAATCCTCTTGGTGGATATGTTTGTATATTTTGGGCGTTGGCCGTACATGATGTATATGATGTGTGTGTGTGTGTGTGTGTATGAAAATGTTGATAATCATTTAATGAAAATGTTTTGTGTTGAGTTTCTTCTGTGACATCCCGTCCTTGTGTGGTGACTCTGATAAT